ATTTATAGTGTATATATGTATATATATGGTATGTACACGTTGGTGTGTAAAGAAATTTGTAGATGTTTATGCAGAGCTCGTGACATGCTTGAAATAGATTTCTTTATCACCAAATTGCTTCATGAAACTCCTATTCCAGCTATGCTAAAACAAAGCACAGCCCATGCACATTGTTAGGAAGGCAACCTAAAAAAATCCTTCACGTGCACAAAAATCTCGCTCGAAAAGTAAGAGGAAGGTACTGCGATTAGCAGTGTGTTTCATACCTGGTGAGAATGTCGTAGCCGACAGATCGTATCCTGTACCAATAGAAGACATTGTGCAGGGTTTGGTATGTGATAATTGACGGGTCTTTACAGCGTAGCATACATATATTTTATATATTTACTGTTTTTGTTTACGTATGAACTTTAACTTCTCTCTCTGTCCCTCTCCTTCTCTCTCTGGGAGTCTGGTGGGGGGGTGAATAAATACACTTAAAAATAAACAAGTGTCAGACATTGAAGAAAAAAACCCTACATTCGCATCAAAAAACCCCCAACAAACCTCAAAATGTTTTGCGTTAAAACGTATAAAAACCCTTTTTTTTTCATTACGTTCAACGTTTAGTTTGCCTCGGACCTATGTGTTCAATGTAGGTGTACGAAATATATCCTTAGGTGCAAATAAAATAGAGTTAAATACTGACGATTTTTTCGAAATTATAGACTCTCGCTTGCCAACGTATTCATTAAACCGGTTAAACATTATGTATGCATGCTTAACGTTAAAAGCCGAACTACCATAACGTAATGAAGTATCACTATTTGATTATACGACTATTTTAAAGTGTATGTAGTATGTACTTTTTTATATGTAAATACTACAAAAAATGGAAAGCAACCCTTTTTTTTATCGCCGAAAAACCGGTTCGTCGAAGAATTTGATATCATATCGTATAATCTAAAAGTAATACGGTTTTTTAACATTTTAACACCCTGAGCTCTGTGTTCGCTGCACAGTCTGGCACGCAGTACAGAAGGTGCTTGTGCTATGGAGGTGTATACACCTCATTTGCTATTCTCAGCAACTTTTGTGAAGTCTTCGGAATGTGCTGCTTGCAAGAAGAAAATTCGTTTCGGAAACACAGGCTACCGATGTAGGAAGTGCAAAGGGTATGCTTCCAGTTTAATGATGTGCTCCCCTGTTTATTTTGTATTCCCATGTTCTCGATAATTGTATACAGCTTTACAGTATTTCGTTACACGTATGAATCTTGTACTAAATTACATATATTGTCATATATGCTCTTAAAGTGCATATCTGTATATTCATATACATACCTATATTTATATGTCCTATTTGCATATATTCATATTTACATGGATGTTCATAAGTACAGATTCATGTGTTAGTATCCATATGTGTACTTGAACAAACAAACAGAGTTG